TATAGTAATGCTGAGGTTTTCAAACATAATATTTCAACTACGAACGTTGTATCACCTTTAGTGCCTTAGTAATGGTTTTGTTGCGTAATATCTCTATTTATTAATTAGTTACTAGTTGTCTCTTGCATTGCCATTTATTCTTCTATAATGACAATGCAAAAACAACTTTAAATGTAATAAATGAAAGTCTCAATTTGTATAGAATGTACAGATGCTATTTGATGTTTGAAATAAAGAGTATTTGATTCGATATTGTTTTTTTTCTGCGTCTACTCGTCTAGTCATCTTCCTTAGGGCTATATTTTACCGGGACACCATGCCAGCTCGACCAGTTGCCGCCACCAACAAACTGCATGCTCTATAGAGAGTTACTCACCTGTGTCAGTATGGTTGCGCATGCGCAACCTAAAGTATTTAATCAGATAGACATATTAAAAGAAGATGGGAAAAATATAGTAAGGGATCGATAAAATCAAAACTAAAAAGAAATATATTGGAGTTAATAAGTTAGGTTATTGATTTTGTTTAGAATTTATGAGTTTTTATATTTTATTTATTACTCAGTTGTCTCATGAAAAAGAGTTGGTTAGAGTGTCGGAATTATTTTATTCAATAGTGAGTAATACAGGTACCTATTATAACAAATACTAGCTGTGTCCTGCTAAAGAATTGCAACTGTACCTGCCTCCATATTATAATTGAATGGTTTGTTTTAAGTGAGCGTCTCTCGCCATCAAACGTGAAAGTTTGGCGAGTTCAGATTTAAGGCCACACACATGTACAATTTCACTAAATAAAAAAGTAAAAAAAAAACCAGTGTGGTAGATCGACCAGTTCAGACGCTAGCAGAAATTGTTACTGGTCGCTCATCCACGCTGATCGCGCCACCACGAATTACTATAACACTGTATAACTCTTTCGGCCGTCGCGGTCCGTAACTGGTTACGCTGTCATGGTGACCCGGAGAAATATCGCCCTTAACCCATGGTATGCCGTATGGAACATAGATCCATGCGAGGCACAATGTGTTTTCTACCGTATCTCATATATTGGCATGCCAACAGCTGTAGCCAAATTAAACTTGGCGCTTGTCTACTTGTAGAGTAGAAAACTAAATTATATGGAATTGACGTAAAATACATTTCTCACTGTCATCCTTATACATTTAGTTTTCTGCTCTCTCGGTAGACAAGAGCTAAAGTGGCGTTTGGCTAAAGGCACTGAGGTCAAACATACACATGCCAATTTCAACAATAGAGGGATATAAAAAGTAATTAAAACCCACAAAAATAATGTTCAAAACACTTTATTTATTAAATCAAAGAACATGTAAGCTATAACATGATATATTATATTCAATAGTGCATTATAATAATATTAAATTAATGGTAACGTGTTGTAACAAACTATGTTTGTACGACTTGACGTGACTAGCAAGTTTAACAATTAAGTAACTCATATACTGTTTATTACAAGATTTGAACTTATACAGCTCTCACTAATAAGATTGACGCCCGAATACTGAAAGGCTACACCTTTAAGTTGAACTCAAATATCGTGCCATCTCGGGTATATTACAAAGAATTGGGTAGTTTCCAGGGTATCAAAATTAAAAATGTAATTATTCCGCAAGTTAGTTAAATAATGAAAAAACATTAGACACGTATTTTTTTATTTTCTCGTATTAAGTTGCAATATTTAAATAAAATGGCGCTAAGTTTAGGAGTGGGAGGTCGTTACGTCATAACGTGCTACAAAATGTGGCACGCTGTGACGTCACACGATATTTCAATTTAATATATCGTCGAAAGTATTCAATTTTGTGAGAAAAGAAAAAATACGTGTCTAATATTTAAATTAATGCATCAGACGGACATTAAAATAAAATTTAAGTAACTACCCTATTTGTAGTGACAGAACTAGGTATCTCGTTATATTGAGTGACGTTTCAGTATTTCAGCGTGAAAATATCAGTACTAAGGTACAGTAATTAACAAGGCATTGAATTAGATACGATAGATAAGTATTTAAAAAGTAGAAAAGTATGATCATGGTCGCCGCTAAGATCCGCATAATTTAAATTTAATTAGACGTTTTAAAGATTCAGATTTGGGCCCCCAGGTCAAGTCTAAGCTCTATCAATAGTCATTTGTAACTCGACAAGTTTTGTGTTGTATGACTAAAATCGAGAAATCTGTTCAGGTTGACCTACGATGTCAGATTCTCCCAAGGTCATTCCCATCAGAAAAAAACACATCTTTACAGGGTGTGTTCTGTTGTATTTTTTGCCTAAAACTTTTTGAAGTATTGCCCAATTTTGTTACGGTTAAAGACAACACCCGACCTTTCAAAATGATTCGAAGGTTTTGTTAGTTTTTGCCATCGATATAAATAATAAAGGCGTAGAACAACTAGTTTCTGAGATACCTATTTCAAGATTTTTAAGTTGTCTGCCTGGAGCAAGAACATAAAATATGATTGAGATTTTACAAATATGTCTAATTTAAGCCTCTTCATATCCATAATTTAGAAAATAATCTTTCTGGTCGGGGGTAGGAAGGGGTAACTTACACCCTAGTATCCTGCTGCTGGCGTCCATAAGTCAGATAATTATAATAACATTTTGCTTTCAATTTCATTGCAAATCTAACAAAGAAAGCTAATTTTTACAAAAGCAATTCAAGAGAAATTTTATAATGAAAGCTTAGAATATTAAAATGTATAAATAACAAATATAATTATTTTATGTAAGTCACGAATATTTGTAAAACAAGACACCCAAAATGAGCTATAATTATTATTGCTTATAACTACAGTTAGGCTAAGAAATAGAAAATCTCGCTTCACAGAATCATAAATTAGAATAAAATTCGAGTCATTTTCAAATGAGATGAAAATAACGAAAACATTAATATATTTAAGCTCAATTAACATAATTATTATTGCAACACAATAAATTATTAGTTATTCATAAATAAATAAATAATCTCACTGTTGACAACCATATAACACTTATTTTAGTACAATGTTAATAAATGTGCGAACAATAATCAAACTTAATAATAGGGACGATGAAATAACTTTTGTCTCGAGTCTCGACGTTGATTACAAAACCCATAAGTCGTAAAATTCATTGAATTTTCAATCTTATTCTTTAGGCACAAAGTTGAAGATTTAATAATAGAATTTCTGACTAAGCGACCGAGTTTTATCGCAATGTTATGACTCAAGTCAATATAAACAAAAGATAAAAATAGAGATATCCACAGAGCCGGATCAAACCTAGACGGCGTCCTAGACAAGCATTTTTAAGCACCCTTAATTAACCCTTAAAGTTGCCAAGGTATAAAAATTAAAAATGTAATTAGTCCGTCAGTTAGATAATGAAAAAATATTAGACACGTATTTTTTTACTCTAAAGATAGGTACTTAGATAAAATGGAGTTAAGTTTAGGAGTGCGAGGTTGTTACGTCACAAAGTGCTACAAAATGTGGCACGTTGTGACGTCACACGATATTTCAGATTAATATATCGTAGAAAAGGATTTATTTATGTGAGAAAAGCAAGAAATACGTGTGTAATGTTTTAAATTTATCTACCAGAAGGACATTAAAATAATAAGATTTAGGTAACTACCCTATTGTTTTTGGCGTCGTCGCCAATCTATGGGCACGGGCGTCACACGGCACCACTTGCCTAGTTTACTTGAGATAATACGGCTCTGGCTATTCAACAACCTATTTCTTAAAAAATTAGTAGATAAGTAAATAAGCACGAGATATTGACTTCCACGATCCTGGTCCGAGGTAGCACTTGTAGGAGAAAAGGAAGGGAGGTAGGACAACCAACTTGTTTTCTTTATTTCATATTTCTAGCAATCTTTTTAGACTTTTTCTTTTTTCTTTTTTCAGGAGATTTAAAATTCCTTTAGGGAAAGAATTGAAGATATATTTAGGATTATTACGTGGAGGATCAGTAACTACAGAACTATCTAACTACCCGTTGTAACACTTTGGATGATTTGTTAGTAAATGTTAGATGTTTAATATTGTATTTACATAATAATTTAATAATGTATTACACGCTAGCATACCGAGTTACCCTTAGAGTTTATATCCTCTTGTCTATTGACAGTTGCGGCCATAATATGTTTATACCGGAAGGCGGTGTCTCAACACACAAGAGGATGTGGGGGTGGGTCTATAACTGGTTTGATTAGAGGACCTGTAGACCCTACAGGACCTAACTCGTTAAGTCTTTCTTTTTCCAGAGCGTACAGCGCGTCGTGTTCTACGCGCGTCTCAAAGAGCCATCAGATCAGACCACCACAGATGGGGCTTAACAGGGCTGATGACAAAACGGAGTCGCGGAGGACTTAACGGGTTACCGGGGCTCCGGCTGGAAGAGCAGGAGTAGGAACGGGGTGGTTTTTAGTCAGTAAGAGTCTGACACTCCATCCCGCCTCACCCAGGCGGGAGAAGTCATTCGATGATTTTCCCCTAAAAAAAGTCTTTCTGCTCAAAAGTCAGGTACGTTTTAAAGGTTTCATTTTAGGGTGACCTGATATGCTAGCGTCTGTACACGTAGTTAGTAGTACCTATTTTGATACGATATTTTAGCCACAAATGGCAAGATATATATATTAGGCCATAATAGGCAGCGTGATAGACATCAATTACGAAATGTTTTAAAATTTGAGCTAATAATTTCATTGCAATATATATTTTGCTTATTTGTAGTTTGAAAATAAAACGTATATGATTTTTGATACTATATTCATAGTCGTATCTATGATACGTCTAAAATTTTATAGGAAACATAGTAAAAAGAGAAATTGGTAGGTACTTTGAAGTTATTTTTTAATAATATTCAAATTGATAGACAACAAGATTAAAAAACAGTGCCTTTAGCCAAACGCCACTTTAGCGCTTGTCTACAGAGAGAGTAAAAAAGTAAATGTATGGGGATGACACTGACAAGTGTCAAAATTTACGTCAATCCCATATAATTTGGTTTTCTATTCTCCATGTAGACAAGCGCTAATTGCCATTTGGCTACAGCTGCTGGGCCGCTAAATCGTGAATTTCGTTCTTTAATAAATTTTCTACTTTATTTCCTTTGCGATAAAGATGAAAATGTATAACATCCTTTCCATCCATCTAATGCTTTTCGTATATCAGTAAATGTAAAAACAATTTCACTTAAAAAAGAAAAAAACTACATATAAACAAAAAAATATTGCAACTATTAAAAATATTTAAAAAACTAGTGAGAAATAACGATGAGATCGAAAAATCGTTTTTAAATATGGCAACAAAACGCAACTAGGCATATGACATATCGTTGTCTCTCTCGCACGTTACGTGAATCATGTGTTAGAAAGAGATGACATTACACCGCACTCTTCATTTCTTGTTTGACACAAGATTTGAACGCCTCCCAACCTTCGTTCTTGGCGTATGACTGAAAATAAATATAAAAAAATGTATTAGTAGAAATAAACATAACATAACATCACGCCTTTAATCTCCGAAGGGGTAGGTAGAGGTGCACATTATGCCACTGTACAATGTAACACCCACTTTTCACTATTTCTGTTATGAGTCCCATGTAATAGGGGGTGAGCCTATTGCCATATACCGGGCACAATTATATACTCCGTGATACTACTGAGATTTTTTGTTAAAACCCATTAAAACCCAAAAGTATGTTGGCTGACCCGGGAATCAAACCCGAGACCCCTTGCACGGCAGTCGCACTTGCGACCACTCGGCCAACGAGGCAGTCATTAGTAGGAATTTACAAACTAAAATAATATTAATTAGGTCAGGCCAACTTTGTTCACATAATATCGTATAATATAAGTCGTAATCCGGAAAGGTATGATTTTTCAAGTATACAGATACTGTGTGGATAGTAATTTCTAAACTAATACAATTATAATTATTTTTAATTTTAAGTGACACTGTTTTTTATATAAAAACATCCATCATAAATCGTAATTCAGAGAAGTATAAAACATTATTAAATTGGGATAAACTTAAGATACTATGGACCTACCACCTCATTGCGAATAGTATTAAAGAAAGAAAAAAAATTGAAAGTATAAAAAAAAGTGTATAAATTTCTTATTTCAAATAACCTGATTACGTATTTCGACAGTTATTACAACTGGCCCTGTGGCGCAATGGATAACGCGTCTGACTACGGATCAGAAGATTCCAGGTTCGAATCCTGGCAGGGTCGCGAACCACTTTTTGTTCTATTTTAATTTTATATTTTGGCTAACTCTTTTCGGTACGTAATAAATATATTGTTTCATGTACTTATTATTTACTTAATATTTTATTTTAATTTTTTTGAGTGAAGGTATTCCCGATTTGAAGTATTATCTAATTAGAAAATAGAAACTGAATAAGAATTTATAGTAGGTATAGCTATTTAAGCTAATTAAAATTACACAAAATATAAATAGGTAATTATTATTGCATAAAAACGTAAATAATTACATTTTCCTAAGATTTTTTTTATTTTTACTTTGTATCCAAAATAGGTCTAATTTTAGATTTAAACATAAACTTCATGATGTAGGTAAATCAAGGCTACAGCCGGTGAGACAAAAAAATAAACTATTTTGCGCGACAAACAAAAACATGCCTTAACGTTAAAACGATACAGTTCAAAATTCAATAATAAATTCCAGACCACAAAACCTATTTCTTTTTTAAAACTGACCTTGAATCCTCTATGGAGTCGATCCTTCATGATGGCTATGAACTCCTTGTAGCTGAGCAGGCCGTCTCCATCAGCGTCGAATATCGCAAACACAGTTGTAACCAGGTGTTCCGACTGAGATATTCCCGTGCAGATCTTTACGGCGCGGTGGAACTCGTCTGGGAATAATAATAATTAAATAATTATAAGTCCCTTTTTTTCTAAGGGGGGAAAATCATCGAATGTCTGCTCCCGTCTGGGTGAGGCGGGAGGGAGTGTCACGACTCTTATTGACTAAAAACCACCCCGTTCCTTCTCCTGCACGTCGAGCCGGAGCCCCGGTTACCCGTTAGGTTCTCTGCGACTCAATTATAAGTCCTTTAGTTATTCCTTTTGGGAAATTCAAGGTAGATTGTCTTTATTTCAATTGAATGTTGTTAAAAAAAGCAAGACAACTAAATTAACTAAAAATCGCGGGTTACTCACGTGAGTATACTGAGATAAGCTCTACTAGACTACACTACTACTACTACGCACACGCTACTCATGAGGAAGAACCCCTCTGTGGTTCGAAACTAGTAGAGCTTTTCTCTGGTGCACTTGCAACCACTCGGCCAACGAGGCAGTCAGTGAGTAATATATCTTCCAATTAACTTTGTTGTTTATTTTTTTTTCTCTCACTTTAATGTGTAGCGATACTTATTAGGTACTTAATACTAAATCCCCAAACCTTTAGAAATCGGATGATCAGCGAGCGTATACATCCTCATAGCTATAGTAAAGTCCTCCAGATTGTTGAGGAACTGGCAAAAGGTCTTGAACTCCTCGAAGGTGATGCCGTGCTCATACTTGACTCGGTCCAGCAGACGATCCAGGTACATGTCATACTCGTCCGTGTCCAGGTAGGTGTAACGAAGGAGGATCTTCGCGAAGTCCACCTCGGATATCGTCTCGTGACCTGGAATTTTTTATTTTATTTATTTTTTTACGCTTCATCAACAAAGTGTACATTACGTGGACTTAAAGCCGCGTATTTCTCCCAGTCTGACCTTTGGGTGATGCAGAGAAGAGTAAATGGTAGGCGCAAGAAGCAAGCAACGATTTAATTGAACAAATAGAAGATACATTGCAATTTTAATTGTCAGGTGTTTAATTTAATTGACAGTGTCGTTATCGGTTACTGAGTTAGGGATGTCGGGATCGACTTCGACGTCCGTATAAGGTTAAATATTATTGTATTTCCTCCACCCATATATCCCCAAGCAGCCACCGGTGACCGCTCATCACTAACTACATTATTACCTTATTTCCAATATTTAGAGACTACTTTTGTATGAACAAATTTAGGGGATGATTTTCAACAATTTTCAACGGGTTAAAAGATTAATTCGCTTAGCTGGATGGTTCATCAACCAATATTTTACGACGTTCTATTTGGATTATAATAATTACAGAATTAATTTTTATATTAACTAAATTATTACATTATTGATAACAACAATTTATACAACTTAAAATATAAATAATTTAAAACTAAAATATTTATATCTTAAAAAAATAATTAAAAAATTTATCTTAACCCAGATAAGCCTACTGTCCTATATTTAGGACAGTAGAAATAGAAAAAAAAATCAGAATACCCTCTTTATCTAAGATTATTTAGTGCTATGATTTGCAGTAAGAAACGTGTCAGCTTAATTAGAAAAAATAAAAAGACAGTTATTTTAACAGTTTTTACCTTATATTTTACCTTATAAGTGTGTAATAAAAGTGCGTTGCAGACATGGCAAATGACAGGTATGTATAAAAAGTTATATTTACTCGTGAGTTGTTTTTTTCTGTGTTAATATTTAGTTGATAACCTTAACTTTTGTACTAAATAAATATTTTAGCAAAATAATATAAATAGATTACCTATAGCTTGTTACAAATACTAGCGTACTATATATAGGACAGTAGGATAATATACATGATTTTAGTACATTATACAACTTTTTCTTTACAGACCGTTAGCTGCGCATGAAATTTTAGATGCTTTAGAAAATATTTCTGATAATGAAGAAGATTATAGAGAACGACTGATATGTATTCTACCTCCTCCTGTTGATCCTGACTGTCTCACTGACGAAGATTCGGGTGAAGAAGATAATGTAACTTTGAATAATTTGCCACGAAACATTCTGCTTCAACCGGCTGAAGTAATGATTCAAGGGCAGATTATGGTGAGTGATACAGAAGAAGAACCTTCTGATTCTACAGGTCGAACTAAACGTAGGCGTACCTACGCATGGAGAAAACGGGACTTGGCAAAAAATCCCGTGAATTGGCCAGATGTTCAAGGCGCTTGCCAAGATAAGCGCCCAATTGAGTGGTTTGAAAACTTCTTAGATGAAGATTTTATTTCGTTGTTGGTGTCAGAGAGCAATAAATATGCTGTCAAAAAGAATTTGCCTGGAGACATAACCACTGAAGATATGAAATGTCTCATCGGCATATTGTTGGTTAGTGGTTATTCATGGCTCCCCCGTAGAAGAATGTATTGGGAAAACTCCCCTGATACAAAGAATGAATTGATCAGCTCGGCTATGACTAGGGATAGATTTGACTTTATTTTTCGCCACCTTCATGTCAATGATAATCTGGATTTGCAAGACAAATACACAAAAGTACGATCCCTAGTTACACTTCTAAATAAAAATTTCTTAGAGTTTTCTCCTCTTGAAGAGCATTACAGTGTAGATGAGGCCATGATCCCCTACTATGGTAGACATGGCTGCAAACAGCACATAAAAGGTAAACCTGTGATGTGCTGATTTCACGTGGCTTCGACCTTCCTTACCACGTAGTTTTTGATAATTTTTTTACTGGGACGCCCTTGCTGGAAGAGGTAACAAAGAAAGGCCTTCGTTGCACTGGGACAGTTCGAGAAAACAGGACATCTAGTTGTCCTCTCATTACATCGAAGTTACTGAAAAAAAAGGAACGTGGTGCTGTCGATTACCGAACGACACATGACAACACGTTCATTATTGCTAAATGGCATGACAATAATATATTCAGTATTGCTTCTAATGCTGTAGGAATAAATCCTAAACAATCTGCCAAACGCTTCTCACAAAGTGAAAAGAGAAACATTGTCATAGAAGAATCACATATGGTGTCCATCTATAACAAATATATGGGAGGAGTGGATCGGTCTGATGAAAATATTTCACATTACCGAATTGGTATACGAGGTAAGAAATGGTACATGCCGTTGCTCACACACATGATTGATCTTGCCGAACATAATGCATGGCAGTTATATAAAATAAATCATGGAAAACTGGATCATCTTGGCTTTCGCAGAAGGGTAGCAATTGCTTTGATTGAATCAAACAGAAAAAATGACAAAAAAGGGCCTAGCCGACCCTCCCATCATGAACATGCTGATAGTCGTAAAGACCAAATGAATCATCTGGTTATTCCTCAATCGAAGCAAACACGCTGTCGTCAATGTCACAAAAAATGTTTGACATGTTGCAAGAAATGTGATGTTGGAGTGTGTGTCAAGTGTTTTGAAACATATCATTCATAAATAGTGTTAATCTAGTAAATTACATATAACAATGGGTAATATAATCAATAGTTATCTAATAAACTACACTTTTTGATTACATTCTGTTATGTCATAAATGGTCTTTTATTTCCTCTTATTATCCTACTGTCCTACATATAGGACGGCTGTTTCCCTGAAAGCCTTACACTTAATTTTTTTTTCATAATTTTTTTTATGTTGCATAAGATCTAATAAACTAAATAATGTAACTTTTTTCAAAATTTTCAGAAAATTTTAGTTTCAGGCTTATCTGGGTTAAGGCATCAAAGAAAAAATTATCCTCATCGCTTAGCTTAGGTTAGAATGCTTGGTATATGACAATAGTCTGTTCAATTATGACTAGAAATTATCAAGAGAACTGTCGAAAAGCGTGTCTCTGACCAGAGGTAGATCAAACGTAGAGAGCGTCTTAGACAAGCATCTCATAGGCAGCTGAGCACACGAAGTCAAAGTCAAAGCATTTATTTCAATTGGGTACTTACCTCAATCAAAAACAAATAATTTCGACTGTTCAATACAATAAAATATTAAAAAATAATCACACTTTCGTTAATTGATTTCATGACCAACTTAATTTTAGAATTTTTTCAGTAAATTTTCAAGAAATAAGAACGTCGTTCGACTCTAAATAAACGTGACATCACAATACACAATCTCGTACAAAATTCATAGAAAACTGTCATTTTTGACAGTTCGAAAAAAGTATTGAATTTGACTAGTTGGCAAGTACACAATTAGTCCTTGATTAGGCACTTTTGAAACGACAAATTGAATTGTTAGTGAAGTTAGGTGCTTGTTCTAAAGTGTAGTTCCGAATGGAGTGGAACGAGCAATCAACTCCATCGTTACTCTTTAAAGAAATGTTTCTGTTGCGAGGTTCGCGGCACCCCTTTGTAACTTGGCGTCCTGGGCACTTCCCTAGTTTGCCTTAGCGACACGGCTCTGCCTCTGGCTAATCGTTTTGATCAATTAAAGGCGAGACGTATAAGTAAATGGAAATAAACCAATAATAGCATTTTTGCAGGTACAAATTTTGGAGAAAAATGAATAAACATACCTTTAGCAAACTCATGGAATTCCAGCTCCAGCACCTCGGTCTGCAGGTTCTCCATGAACTGCCTGAAACCCTCGAACTTCAGGTCGTTCGTTCCTTTCTTGCCGAAGAAATGCACCTGGAATTGATATATTACATGATTTTAATAAAAAAAGTTGATGGGAATATATTATCAATAAAATTTTTGAACAAGGCATTATTCATACAATTTGTTTGGATGCCATTCAAGAAAAAGCATTCATAGAGAATTGATTTAACAAATGGATAAATAAAATAAATGTGCTTTAAACATACACATACGATATTACTAAGAAAGAACTGTCAGACTCTGACACCATGCCTATTACTTTTTTTTTATACTTTACAGGTCGACGTTTGATCTCCATGTCGCCTGATGGTAAGCGATGATGTGGCGGACGATGGAGCACGCCTACCTATGAGCAACCTGTTCACTCGGGACTTGAAGACACCCAAGTCATATTTGACGGGAAACACAGACTCTGGCAAGGAATTCCATTCCTTAGCGGTTCGCATGAGGAAGCTTGACGCGAAACGCTTCGTGCGAATGGGTGGAATGTCCACCATATAAGGGCGGCGCCCCGCCGTTCGTTTGGTGGTACGGTGGTGAAATGGACTAGGGGGAATAAGTTTGTGCAATTCCCACGCACACTCACCGAAATGTATCCGATAGAAGACCGAAAGGCTTGCGACTTCGCACCTGTGTTCGAGGCTTTGTAGCCGAGCCTCCACAAGCGAATCGTCATTGATGAGCCTCTTGGCACGCCTCTCGATGGATTCGAGGGCTTCTAGCTGGTATTCAGCCGAGCCATCCCAAAGATGAGAGCAGTAGGTACTCCACAAACGACCGAACTTGTGTTTGGTAAAGAGTGAGCAACTGGTCCGGCGCGAAGTACCGTCTCACCCTCGACAGGACACTTTCTACCAGCCAGCTTTGTCTCAATATACGAAAACTATACTCATTAAAAATGTTTTTAAAAGCCTATAAAATAACTTTCAATTTACTTTACCTGCAGAAAAGTATCAACATTGTGCCTCCTCTGCAGCCCCTGATCATCATTCACGTAGTTCTCATGCGCCTTGTCATCCCCTTTACCATCCGCTTTAACAACCGCTTTATCATCCACTGGCGCTTCGTTCTTATTTTCTTCATCCGTCATCCCTCTCTTGCCTCGCCATGCGAAACTGAAGATCTTCTCCATCTGAAACCATTTTAAGAAGATGTTGAGTAAGAGAATTTAGTTTTGACTGACTGCTTAGAAAAGTAGAGTAAGAAGTAGTTATGTGTAGAAGTATAAAAAGAGATAAAGTATATTGAAGTGTATGTGTGTGTTGTTAAGTATATTCTATTGTTATTAAAGCTTAGATGGAGAGTAGAGAGTTACAAAGAAGTAAAAAGAATAAGGAAGAAATATACAAAGAGAAGATGTGTTGCATATTAGGTTATGAAAAGTTAATGGCATTCCATATAATATTTTGAATTAAAAAGATATTGACGTGAGAAATATAGAAGTAGGTAATAATTGAAAAGCAAAAAGAGGATATTTTATAGAAGAGAAAAGGAGATGATGGCTTTGTGTTGTTGTATGTTTGTAAAAAAAATATTTAAAGCGAGAGATATAAAGTAGTGTAGAGTAAAAAGAGATTATCGCACTTAGATTAGTTTTTAAAATCGTCTATAATATTGCAATAAAACCCCCATCCTATAGGTAAACAGTTGCCATCAGATTTTCTACCTTATTAGAAAGGTCTTTAGAGTGTTTTGCCTAAGCGTGTGTTTGTTAATTGTTACTTCCAATGTACAGTTTATACTGACGCATAAAACATTTAAAAACCAACAAAGATTAGTTACAATTTTCATTGCAGTACATATGTATTAAGTAAATATACGTGCGAATCTTAAAAATAATTATCATCAAGTTTTGAGTAACAAAAAATTAGTAACAATATTTCAGAAAATTATTGCGATTGATTATAATTACAATTAAAATGCTATAAGTACTAAAACTAATTAATATTATTCACAACATAAAGCACAACGTATATAACGCAAAAGCGAACAATTCAAAGAATTATTTTCTAATAACACAAATATGAAGCAAAAGTGTTTCTATACAATTATCGGACATATCCCATGCCCACTACACATTGTTTAATCCACAAATATAACCATAAAAAGAACAAACCCGACCATACACAAAATCCAACACTTGCGCAACTTTGCGCAAATTTATACAACAGCGCTAAATGTTTGCGCAACCACGAAAACTAATTATCATGGTTTTTGGCTCATTTACGTAACTGTGAGGTATTCCTAATAGCGCTCCCGTTTTGAAGCGCTCCCATCTAAGCGCTCACGTTTTGTTCCTCAAAGCGCTCCCAAAAGGAGCATTTAGATAGGAGCGTTTCAAAATGGGACCGCTATGAGGAATACCTCGTAACTGTTTGATGAGGTACTTGACTAGTTTCAAGCCACACCCGGGACTCATAATCTTTTGCAGCATTGGGGGATGCATGACGCGGGGACTATAGAACAGTTATATGAGTAAAACCAAAAACAGTTATAGGTAATTTATTTAATTTGTCTTACAAAAGTTATAATACACCATGAAAACTGTTGCGCAAGTATGAAAATGTATATAGTCGAGTCTGATTACATAAAAATCCAATAAAAACGTGACGGCCATGATAAAACAAACGGACATAAGCGTTGTCCACTTGTCACTTACGGTGGACGAACTCGGGACTTCATGACCGGCCCTGTTCTTCATTGCGCTTGTCGACACTAAGGTAAGCAGCTAATGAGCATATAATACACACATAAATATCATATTAATATTATGTACATATACTGGTTTAAACGTATATTTTTACACAAAACAATAAACATAAAGAAAAATTTAAAAAAAGCGTAAACACCGTTATGCCGCTCGGGTGAATTCAATCGAAAAAAAAAAAACAAAATTTTATACAGAAATACAAAATAAAAAAATCAGAAAACTTTAACGTTTTAGTCATCGTTTAAAATTAAATTAAATATCTCACAAGTAAATCGTAATTTTAGAGTAATTGGGGGTTTTTTTTAGTTAATTTGTTTTCGTCCCAATTTCAGTTAAACACAAGATTATGTAAAAAAAAAACTACACACATTAGAGCGGCATTATTAACCTTTTGTTTCAAGATGGTTAAAATTCTGATTCTAAAACTACATAAACATTACTTATAATAATAATGTTGCAATTTTCAGCATATTTGATACTGATACTAGGCATTAAATAGAGGTAAGACAGACGAGTATTACATTACTTTATACTAAGCCCGTCAATTAAGTATAAAAAAAATTACGTAAAAGAGAAAAATTACTTTCATTAGTCCACTCTACTTCATGTTTATTATATAAATATATGGAAATAAGAATCAAAATTTCAACCAAAAACATTTGTAATGCGAGGCGTGTCCCTTCCACAAGCTGTTATTTATCAACTCACTGCCTCTTGGCTCTTCGGGTCCAAATTTTTACGCTCCTTAAATGTACCACCCAGCAGGCGTTGGATCTAAATAAATACACGGCAGAAAAAAACATTCAAAAACTAAAAAAAAAACTAAGAAAAAATAAAAAAATAAATAAAATGTTTTCTTGGCTCTTTGTTGCATTAAGCATGCTTTTCTAGTATCTACGACAAACTTTTTAAATATGCTAATTTCACTATATTAGTCTCAATCTTAATTCACAACTTTGTCTCGGAAACGTTTTTTTTTAAACCGAAACATTGAGACAACAGTGTGAATTTTACATAAGACTTGTTGTAGCGAAAATATGTCCTCCACAGTTGCAATAAAGCTCAATTTGCTGTATAAAAATAAACTTATATGCTTTTCCCGGGCATTCCACCACCAGATATTTTGTTAGTTACGGTTCAGACATAAGTTTAAACAATATCTTGTTCGCCTTAACAAATCTTCGGGGTTTCCTCTACGCTGTTATAATCTAAACACTATGTGCTACGCCTAATTCAACTCGTGCTATTTTTATTCTATATTCCTACGAGGGGTGCCAGTGATGGCGGAGAGCGATTATTTAAAAAAGAACGAATTCAAAAGTGTTCTTCGTGCGAATAACTGAAAGAGCCCTTTTGTTCAGCAGTAAATATGTAATCTTTCGACTGAAAATGATGATGATATACCTAATGTACTACTCAGTATAATTTGAGTACCAAATAAAAACTGGCAAGCCTACTGCCATACAGTTACTGGGTACAATTCTCCCAGTACTATTTTCGATCATCGAAAACCCAATACTTCTATTATCAAACATAGCAATTGATCGCTAGACTCCTTGAACCTAACGGGTAACCGGGGCTCCGACTCGACGTCGACAGGAGAAGGAACGGGGTGGTTTTTAGTCAGTAAGAGTCTGACACTCCCCCCCGCCTCACCCAGGCGGGAGCAGTCATTCGATGATTTCCCCCCCTTAAAAAAAAGACTCCTTACTCAAAAATCGTAAAACTCGTAATTTTCTATTAATTGTTACCTTAGCTCTTGCGGCAATACAACGTCACCTGCCAATATTTCTTTTAACCTCAAAATATACTAAACACATCTGTATGCAATAGAAATATATAATGATTGTCAATGTAAACTTAAAGACTTCAGCACCGTAGATGAAGCTGCAAGTTAAAAGCTAGTAGGTACTTTAACAAAACAAAATTCGCTCCCCGCTATCACTGGCACTGTGTACACAAATAGAAGTATACTCACGACTAAGAACTCGTTTTTATCAACGCGCTGGTTACCGTCCGTATCGAACATATTGAACGCGATGCGGAAACCTGAAGCCGGCTCTGAAATACGAAATTACGTGATACAGATACTGCACAGACGTGTGCACAACTAATGATAGTTTTGTAAACATCATGGAACAAGGTTTTGTATTCAA